GAACATGTTTTTAAAAAACTGGATATGGAAAATATTTTTTCTGAACTGTGATGCATTTTATGTCATTATACATAAAGAAATGGTTTGTTAAAAATAAGTCCTATTAATTACACTTTTATATTACTTTGTAGGGTTCATTTATGCTCCAAAAAACATTAACAGTAACGTGTCTACTTATTATTTAATATATAACAAAGAAGCATGAGTATCAGTAAATAGAGACATTGACTAATTCATGGTGACTTCCACAGCTTAACAATCCCAAAGCAAACCCCATATTTTTTTAGGACAATTATCGTTCAAGACATGGGAGGTACCATGTGGCAAAATTCTTTATGGAATACTGAGAATCTTCAGGAATCCTAGTAAAATGCCAGTTTTGGTCAGAAAAAAGAAAACTTTGTTATACTTAATAGCATATTAAGCAGGTTATAAGAACTCTCAAGTTCCATTATATAAAGCGCAAGTGAATTAAATATTAAATCATCCTCCTAAACACTTGGGTAAGAGCCTCCTCCTTTCTTCCCTTCTACTTCTCCCTTCTCCTCATCTTCTTCCTTCCCTTCCTCCTCTTAATCTTCCTCTTCCTCCTCCTCCTCCTCCTCCTTCTGTTTTCTTCTCTCTTCCACACTCTCGCGCTGATTTTTCACCCAATGTTTCAATTGGTTCTTGGGATTCTCAAAACAATCTTCAATGAAATATTTCATGTATGAATAATATTGTGTCTTTTAGTAAAAAGTCAACAGTGAGGCTGTCAGGAAAGGCACACTTATTCCATATGGAGTTTTTACGATAAGTTATTCTAGAATGTTGTCCAAATTTGTACTTCTTGTAACTCTACACTTCTTACTTGATGAATACCTTTGTCCACATTTTGTATTGTCCCTCTTCTTTACCCATAAAATTCAATGTATGTAAGGTGATAGCTCATTCTTGGATGGCTACTTGACAGTGTATTTCCATCAATAAGAGTGGGTTGAACATGAACTCATCAGTATTTTTTTTTAGTGCCATGTATGCTTGTAGCATTTGTCTGCTTATCTGTTCAATACATTTTTCAATTTTTAAAATGGAGTGCAGATCCAAACAAAATTCTCAAGAGAAGAATCTCAAATGTCCAAAAGACAATTAATTGTTCAATGTCCTTAGCCATAAGGAATTAAAAATGACCATGAGATTCCATCTAACACTAATCAGAATAGCTAAGATCAGCAACACTAATGACAGCTTATGCTGGAGAGGATATGGAGCAAGGAATACACTTTTCCACTGATAGTGTAAGTGCAAACTTTTACAGCAAATTTGGAAAATAAAATGGAGGTTTTTTCAGAAATTTAAGAACCCATCTACCTAAAGATCCAGTTATAGCAGTCTTGGGCATATTCCCAAAGCATGCTCAGTCATTCCACAAGTACACTTGCTCAACTATGCTCAAAGCAACTTAGTTTATAATAGTCAGACCCTGAAAACCTATATCCCTCAACTAAAGAATGGATAAAGAAAACATATTACATTTGCACAATGGAGTATTACCAAGCTGTTCAAAACAATGACATCATGAAATTTGAAGGCAAATGGATAGAACTAGAGAAAAACAATCATCCTGAGTGATGTTGCCCAGACTCAGAAAGGCAAGCATGGGATGTACTCATTTATAAGTGGATATTAGCTTTAAACTAAAGGATAACTATGCTACAATCTATAGTCCCAGAGAGTTCAGGAAACAAGGAGGAACCAAAGTGGGGTGGGGTGTATGTACTTTCCTTGGAAGGAGAAATGGAAGAGATCTTCTGCGTAGACTCTGGGCCATGAGGTTATTGTGTTGAGGATATAGATGTAATGGGAAAGTAATGAAAGAAGTCTTAATGGAGGGCATTTTGGGTTCAGGTAGAAACCTGGTGTAAAGAAAACTCCCATGAATCTACATGATGGCCCCTTCTAATATTCTAATAGTGAGTAGGTAGCCTGAACTGGCCATCTTCTATAGCCAGATTAGTGACCTCCCCAATTGTCATTGGAGAGTCTTCATCCAGTAAAGGATGGACACATGCAGAGATCCACAGTCAAGTTTGAGCAAGCCTTTTATGTGGTCTGTTTGCTTTCAAATTGACTTCATTAACTCTGGCCTTTTATCTATTCATACAAATTTATAAACCTTTCTAAGTAAAAAATTCACATTGATTATGAATGACATCTTCTTGATCTATAATTTCATTTAAACAGATTTTTAGGGTTAGTTTAGAAGTTGTATTTCTACTTTTATCTAGACCCTTTTAAGGCTTTAAAGGCATCTTTTTAAAAACTTAGAGAATTTTACTGCAAAGTATAGATGGAGTTTAGAAAGTAATTTTGATATGTTTATGTTTATTTTTAGCTGACATTATAAAGATATTAGTGTAAGATACTATGCTATATTCTGATGCATGTATTACATGGTATTTAAGTCATATTAAGCATGTTTATCATTTTTTTTAATTTTATGGCAGGAGCTTACAAAACCATATCTTCTGGCTTTTAAAAATATACAGTAATTATTGTTATCCATAGTCACCCAAATGTGCAATAAGAAAACTTAATTTCTTATTCCCATCTAAATGTAACTTAATAACCACATAGCAACCACATGTAATCCTTCTATGCTTCTTTGGTTTCCTCAGTTTCTGATAACAACTATATAATTGTTTATGTTATGCTTACACATGTGTGATCATGTAACATTTTTCCATACCTGGTTCTGTTCACTTAAGATAATTTTTTCTTGTTTTACCTGTGCCACTGCAAACAAAAGGACCTCCTTCCTTTTATACTAAATAGAATTCTACTGCATATATGTACAATATTTTCATTAACTTTCATTAGTGATTGACACAAACGGAATGAATTTCTTATAGTAAATGATTCTGTGATGTGTTGGGAGGCCTTACTGGTCAGAGGATGCAGTGTACCATGGCCTGGCTTTCCAAGCTGCATAACATGGGGGGCTCCCTCCCCATTGAGACTTCCTGCTCTCCACCTGCCTTATTTGGAGAAGGTCTCTAGACCCAGAGTCCTGACCCTACCTGACAGCTGTTCCCAAGACCAGATGCCTGATTTATCCCTACTGTGACCCTTGGCATAGTTCCCTGCTAGAGCTCTCCCTCTTCTACCCATATGGTAATTATGACTTGTACTATGAGCATAATGATAGTTGTGTTATTTAATGCAAGTTACTTGACTCTTCAGCCCTGTCCCCAGCATTTATGTGCCCCCTCCTTCTGGAATAAAGTGGAGTTGTAACACTTAAACTGTCTCTCAGGAGAGCTGTCTCCTTTGACTCACAAGCTGTCTAAACCTGCTTACTTACTTCTTCTGCTCATGGACCTGCAGCCTAAAATCTCTGTGGAAGATGGAGAACCTCAGTGATGGACATGGGGATGCAGATACTACTCAGACAACCTGTCTTATTACTTCTGGATACATACCCAGTGATGGAGTACTGTCTCATGTGGTAGTTCCATTTAAAATTTGATGCATGTGGTATGTTGTATGGATGTATTTGGGTATGCACATGTTTGTAAGTATACATGGGGAGGCTAGATACTGGCAGAAACTTTGTCAGTTTTTCACATTGACACAGGCTTTCGGATCGAACCTAGAATGCATCAACTTGGTTAGATTTATAGGCTGATCATATCTAAGGATCCACCCATTTCCCTCTTCAGTTTTCCCTCAGTGCTGAGTTCTTGGGTTTCAGAGAATGCCACCATAACTAGCTTTTAATAGGTGCTGAGGATGCAAACTCAAGTCTTCATGTTTATGTAGCTAACATTTTACCAACTCTCCCCCAGTCCCCCCATCTCTTCTGACTTTTAGGATGAATCCACATACTCTTTTCTATAATGGTTCTACTAAATTGTAGCTCTAACAATAGTCAGAAAAATGTCACCCTTTCTTAACTTCTTCATTAGTCTTTGTAGCTGTGCTTGCTGATTTTCTAGGGGACAGTTATTTTGCCATATCCACAACAAATTCCTGTAACTCCAGCTCCAGTGAATCCAATAGCTGTTGTAGGTGTCTGTGAGCACTTGCATTCACACTCACACACAAATCATAAAATAAGTCTTTAAAATTAAAGTTTTGTGACCTATTTTATGTTTGATCCTGGTGAAAGTTCAATGTGATGATGGGTAAAATGCGTCTTCTGTAGCTTTGTGGACTGCTTTGTAAATCAGGTTTATTTAGTCTTTGGTGAACATTATTTCTTCTATTTCTTAATTTACTGTCTGGGTGATCTGTCTACTGCTGGAAGTAGGGTGTCTAAACCACAAATATTACTGAATTATAATCTATTTATCCCTTGTGTTAGGATTATATTTACATACATTTGAGTCTTCCAATGTTGGGGTTTTACACATTTAGAACTACTATCCAAGATAACTTAACACTTTTATCATTATATAATGACTTTATCTCTATTGCTTTTAATATAAAGTCTATTTTATATGACAAAACTAGAGCTAGTCTTGCTACCCTTTGTGTTCTATGTGGAGGGGACATTTTATTCCATCCTTTAAATTCCAAACCATACAGATCCACGGAGGCGGAGGTGAATCTGATATTGGATTATTGTCATTTTTTCTGTCCTCATTTGTTACAAGCACAATGTGGCATGTTTAGAAACATAAAAGAGAATAGCTAAGAAGACGTCTCTGTCTCCACTAGCCTTTCCATGGGGCTTGGATTCCTCCATGGCCAGGATGTGGGGTCCTGAACAGTTCTTGGCAGAATCATCACGGAACCATTGGTCTCCTATGACATACATGTAGCCTCGTGGTCTAGTTAGGGCTACTATTTCTCTCATGAAATGCTGTGACCGAAAGGAAGTTGGGGAAGGCTGGGCTTACGTAGCTTACGCTTCCACATCATAGTCCATCATTGAATGAAGTCAAGACAGAAACTCAAACAGGGAAGGAACCTGGAGGCAGGAGCTGGTGCAGGGGATTTGGAGGGATGGTGCTTACTGTTTGCTCTTCAGGGTTTGCTTAGCATTCCTTCCTGTAGAACCCAGAACCACAAGCCCAGTGATGTCACCAACCATATTAGGTTGGGTCCTCCCTCATCAATCACTAAAGAAAATACCCTACAGGCTTGTCTATGTCCCAATCTAAAGGTGGCATTTTCTCTATAGTGGATCCCTCTTCACATATGCCTCTAGCCTAGATCAAAATTATATAAAATTTGCCACCACAACATTGTAGTTGTATGATTTTTTTGCTCTTTTGACTTTTTGAGGGGCCTTGCCACCCAGCTCCCAAGTAAATTATACATGGAGGATTATTATTATTTATGAATGCCTGGCCTTAGAATGTCTTGTTTCTAGCCAGTTTTTCTTATCTTAAATTAACCCATCGACCTTTTCCTCTGGGCTTTTATGTTTCTTACTTCTATATATCTTATTTTCCTTCTTACTCCTTGACTGGCTGGGCAGCTGGTCCCTGACTCCCTCCTCTCCCTGTTCTCTTGCTGCTCCTCTTCCTCCCTTATTCCTTCTATTTATACACTCTGCCTGCCAGCTCTGCCTATCCTTGCTCCTGTCTCACTATTTGGCCATTCAGCTGTTTATTGGGACCGCCAGGTGTTTTAGACAGGCACAGTAACACAGCTTCACAGAGTTAAACAAATGCCGCAAAAACACAAGTCACACACCTGAAAATAATATTCTACCATGTCTCCAATATCTCATATTAAAAACCATCACAAACATGAAACATAACAAACTTAAAAGAACAGGACACACCACACACAATCTGAATGAAGCAGAACGACACTCCAACAAGTATAAATAAATAAATGCCCAATGGCTGGGACTCACTCACAAAGGGCTTAGGTCACTTATCAGACTCCTTTCTCTTTAGCACACACTGAGCTGTCTTGTAGACTGAGGCCATCTCCACTCCAGCATTGCTACAATGATGGTCAGCTGTCCCATGGGTACTGGTATCTCCAAAAAAATAGTCTTCTACTACAAATCAGCTCCCCTTTCACCAATAGCATCTCCTGGTTGCCTTCAGGGTGCAAAGCCTCAGTTTTTCTTAATCACTCTTTCAGTTCTTGGGTTTCCACTGCTACTCTGGCTGTACCTTCAGGAATGGTTTATCATGTACTTCATAGTGCTAAGTCTCACCCACTTTCCAAGACATCTTCATGTTTTCAAAACCAGTACCACCTGGGAGACTCTCACATGTTACCAAGTTTGCCTGCTACCATGAGCTACAAGGCTTGGCCACTCTGACCACAGTTTTCATGAGCTGTCTCTGAGAAAACACTGACCTAAGGTTATATCTCAGTGATACTTGGCTCTTCTTATTCACAGCTGATATGTAAGCCCCAGATGTCCAGATCCCATTGTCCTAGCAAAACAAAGGTTTTACATTAGTGTTCCTGACCTCTTGTAATTACAGCTGATGATTCAGCTAAAGCTGACCACACAACAGGATTCCATCTGAAACTGTAGAAACCAGGCCTCCTATGCTGCATTGGTTTCTACATTTTCATTTTCCAAGATCCTGCAGAACAACCTACTGAGCTTGCAGCACTCAATAGCTCAAAGCCCAAAAGTCCCCTCCATAATCCTCCAAAAACATGGCCTATCACAATACTCAATTCCTGCTATCAATTTTTGTGCTACTTAGGGTTACTATTGATGTGATAAACACCATGACCAAAACAGTTTGGAAGGAAAGGGTTTATTTGGCTTACCCTTCTCTATATCTTAGTCCATCACTGAGGGAAGCTTGGATAGGAATTCAAATGACAGAAATCTGGAGGGAAGAGTTTATGTAGATGACATAGAGGGGTGCTCTTTATTGGCTTGATCTCCATAGCTTGCTCAGCCTCCCTTCTTTTTGGGAGGAGTCAAGGGTTTATTTTGCTTAGCCTTTCATATCATCACACTTCATCATTGAAATCAGTCATGGCAGAAAATCAAACAGCAAGAATTTGAGGTCAGGAGCTGATGCAGAAGAATGTTAGAATGTTAGCTTACTGCTTATCTTCATGACTTGTCCATTTTCCTTCCTTATAGCACACAAGGCCACTAGCCAAGAGATGGACCCACCCACAATGAGCTGGACTCTCCCACATCAATCACTAAGAAAATGTCTGACAGGCCTTTCTACAGTCCTATCTTGTGGAGACAATTTCTCAGCTAAGGTTTCCTAGTCTTAGATGAATTTAGCTTGAGTCAAGTTGACATAAAACAAAAACAAAAGCAAAACCAAAAAAGGAAAATGAAAACAAAACAAAAACTAGCCAGCATCCCTTGTCTCTTAAAATAAAAGCTAGCCCCTATCTTTCCATTCATGTTACTGTTTAACATAAAAATCTCTGCTTTTTGTCAAGTTTTACAAGATACTTTTATAACCCCATAATCTAGTTTAATTTTTTACTTTTTAGCTTTCTTTTTAATTTACTTTTGTGCCTTTCACATTATTCAACCTGATCCCACCCCTCCTTAACATCTAGAATCCACCCCCTCTCCCCCAAAATACAAAGGAGTAAATTTTAAGATAAAAGAGGAGGGTAAAAGAAGGAAGGGAAGCATGTCATTATTGAAGTTGGTGTGACACACTGAGGCATGCAGTCCCTTTATCCATACAGTTTTACATGCAGGCATTCATCGCAAAGAATCATTGATTTGTTTTGAGGCTCCTGGTCATTGTCATACTATCTCCTCCCTGGGTGTCTTCCTGGTGATCCTGTTGCTGCCCAGTGTCATGGAGATTCTGTAGCACTTGGTCCACAGGATCCTGCTCCCAACCAGTGATACAGCAGATCACAGATGGAGAAGATGTTGGGGTGGGCCAACACTTAAGCCTGGTTCTGGGTGTGGGTGGTTGCTACCAGGATGAGTTCTGTAGCATTGTCCTAGCTAGTATACCCCTTGCCGGTCTCCCACTTCATTTATTTTTTTTTCCCATATTTTTATTTAACTTTTTACACATGTCAAGCTCAGTTCGCTCTCCCTCTCCTCCTCCCCCACCCCCCAGTACTCCCAAATCCCTACCCCACTCCATCCCCCCTCTGCTCTCCAGGGAGGGCAAGGGCTTCCAAGAGGGATTTTCAGAGTCTGTTACATCATCCTGGGAAGGGCCTAGGTTCTTCCCCACGTGTCCAGGCTGAGAGAGCATCCCTCTGCATTCCGGGAATAAATACTGCTCTACTCTCCAAGGTCCTAAAGATTGTCAAGGTCTCCTCTCTGTCACCCATATTCAGTGGGAGAGATATCTAGATCAGTCCCATGCTGGCCCCTCAGCTATCAGTCTGGGGTCCATGTGTTCACCCTTGTTTAGGTCAGCTGCCTCTGTGGGTTTCACCAGCCTGATCTTGATTCCTTTGGTCATCACTCCTCTTTGCAACTGGGTTCCAGGAGTTCAATTTGGTTCACAGCTGTGTGTGTCTGCCTCTGCCTCTATCAGCCACTGGATTAGAGTTCTAGGATGGCATATAAGGCAGTCATCATTCTGATTATCATGGGAGGGCATTTAAGGTAGCCTTAATGCCAGTTGGTGTCATTTTTATAGATCTGTGAAGATCTCACTAGTGCCATATCTCTCCTCCAACTTATAATGGCTCCCTTTTTTATGGTATCTCCTAGCTTTTTCTCTTCTATTCTTACCTGGCTCAGCCTTCCTGCTCTCCCATGTCCTCCTCTCCCCTCCTCTTTTCTCCCTCTCTTTAGCATTGCCCTAGCTAGTATACCCCTTGCCAGTCTCCCAAGGGTTTTTTCTCTCACATCTACAGCTTCAGGGTTGGCTCTAGTGCATTGCCCAGTGGAGGTATATGGACCACTCTCCTGAGTGCTTTAGCTGATAAGGGGCAGTGATGGGGAAGTCCTGTGTATATAGAAATAAAACACTGTTGGCCAATAGGGAAGCAAAATAGGTGGGACTAGGAATCTAGGAGGATTCTGGGAAATGTAGTGAGGGGAGCAGGTACATGTGATTCTGAGGAGACCCAAATCTGGGTTCTTGGTAAGATAAGACCTTATAAAAATATGTATTAGTAACTATAGATCAATAATTAAATCAGAGCTAGTCAATGAGATACAATAGCAAATGGCCAATCGCTTAATAATTAATACAGTGTCTTGTGTGTTATTTGGAGGCTGAAACTGCTTTGCAGGGCCCGGGCAGTTGGTGGGAAAGACTAAATGTTACAGGGCAGGGCCAGCTCTTCTACATGAAGGGGGCAGTGGTCTCTCCCCTACCCAAGCTACCACATGACCCACATGACAGATAACGGGGACAGCTCTCCCACCTGCCTCAGGCATTGATGGACAGGGGAGCAGGAGTCTCTCTCTTGCCCATACTGCCTCTGGGCCAGCTCTCCTCTGTGCCTCAGAGGTTCATGGGGCGGCATCTTTCCCGAGCCCATGCCACAGGAAAAATGAGTGAGAGGGATAGCTTTCCCATGCCCATGCTTCTGGGTTGGTTCACCCACACCTCCACCAAGGTCAGCTCTTCTGTGCTGCTCAGGTGAGGTACAGGTCCACCTTCCTTAGTGCTGCAACTGGTAAGGGGGAGAGTCAGCTCCCTCATGCACCATAGAGTGTCAGAGCAAGGGAGTAGGGCACCTTTCCCTTGCTCTCACCAACACATGGCTTACAATGGGGGAATGGCCTGCTATCTCACTCTCACCGGTACTTTATGCCATCACTGTCAGCTCTACTCTGCTGTCCATCAGCCTCCCTAATGGAACCCAGGACCACCAGCTCAGAGGTGACCCCAACCACAATGGCCTGGGTTCTTCCACATCAGTCACTGTTCTCCTCTTTTTCATTTGTTACCTTTTAAGTCAAGGTTGTCCAAATCAGCAACCAAAACTCCACAGCAATCTGCAGCCACAGTTAGGCAGTAAGAGCCACAGTCTGAGGATACAGAATTCTCTCAGGCACAGACTCTTTCCAAGCTACTAAGGGAACTTATCTAAATCTCTCTCTCTCTAAAGAACACAAGATTCTAAGGTTGAAGGGAAATTCACTCCTCAGAGAGGCTGAATACAAATAGCTCACCTCATCTCCTTCTCTCCAGAAGCAGTAGGGCTTCTTCTAGCATCCCCTTAAAAACCCTTCTCCACATGGCTCCTCCCTACCACTTCCTGTCAGCTAGTTACTGACTCAACCTCCTGACAGCAGGTGAATTTTATTTAATCAAACACATCTTTGCATCATTAAACAAATGCTCCAGAGCATAAACAAAAGTAACATTTCTTATAATAACATTCAACAACAAATCACTAATTAAAAAAATGCTCTGCAATCTTGCCTGCAACCCAGTCTTATGGAGGCATTTTCTCAGGGTTCACTCCTCTCATATTACTTTGTCCTGTGCCATGTTGACATAAAATTAGCCAACACACCTCAGATGTTGTCAACTTCCATCACGCCCTAAGCTCAAAGGCTGCTGAAATGAACAAGTTACTGGGATAGCATCAAGGCACGTGCTGCTATGGTTTGGCTATTCAGTATGCTCCTGGCTCAGGAAATCCTAGTTTAAGCAGATTACTGACACATACTTTCTTTGTTTCCTTTCCTCTTCCCATTCCTATTCCAGTCTTTCCCCCTTCTTTGTGTTTCTCCTGTTCCCCTTTCTTCCTTTTCCTTCTCCCTTTCTCATTTTGTGCACCGGATTTCTTCCTTTTCCCCTTCTGTCTTGATAGTGTCTCAGTCTGAGAATGGGCTCTCCTGAAACTCACATTAGCCCCAAACATATAACAACCCTCTAACCTCATTCTCATAAGTATGGGAATGAGGCATGAGTTCCCCTACCTAGCTGTTGACATTTCTTTTTTAAATGACAACACATTCTAAGGTTACCGTTTCACTATGAATCTAATATTTTCACTTGAAGCTGTTTAACTTGAGACCTCAACCCTCCTATATACCTAGCACTGAGCTCCAGTCTTTGTCACTCACATTGAAGTTCATCACCGAACTTTCCAAGTTGGTTATTTGTTTATTTTATCTAAGAAATCAGTGAGGATGAGAACAAGTTTATCCCAAAGAGCAACTTCAATTGGTTCCTTCCACCTTAAGCTGCATACAGAAAGGACAACCTTGTACTAATCAATGAGTTTTCCTCCACTGCCTTGCCTCTGCTGTCGAGGAAACTTCAATATGGTCACTCTGTCTTGGTTTTATGATCTGCTTTCTTCAGTGCCTTTGCAGTTTTCTCCATAAAGCCTTCTTCCTCTCTTTAGCACATCAGGTCACTTATTCCTTAGAGAATTATGGAACAGTCAATTGTAACAGCAAAATAATGCCAACGAAATGTGGTGGCATATGCCTTTAATCCAGTGTTCCATGGTCAGTCTTTGTGAGTTCTAGGCCCACTAGGGCCATGTATGGAGACTCTGTCTCAAACACAGTAAGTTTTGTAAAATCTGATGATTTGATTATAAAAAGTCACTTTTTTGAAAATTAAAGAAGTATCTTAGAGGAATGTTAGGCAAATTCAATGACATAATCCAGCTTTGCTTGTATGCCCATTCTTTACAAAGAACAACAGTAGTAATTAGAATAAAGGGAATTTTGTGAGCACCCTGAAAATTCTAATTTAAATAAAATTTGCCACTACATGTGCTTATGACAGAATACATTCTTTGATCTTCAATATAGTTGCCAATAGCAAAATGTAACCATCAAAATTTGCAATTATTAAATAAATAAAATGACAATGGATTCCCTCATGCACACATGCCATATTTCAAGCCATATGTGGCTACTGGCTATTACTTTGGACAGAAAAGATATACAACACTTACACATGTAAAAAATATATTTTTCTATACTGTATTATGAAAAAAATCTATAAATACACAAAAGGGATGGATTGTATTTAAATACAGTTTAAAATTGGTTAGATAGACCTAGTCTTTGTTTTATCCTTGAAATGCTTGATTTACTTAACTATTTATTTGGGTGTTGCAAGGTAGCTTCAGTCATTATATAAATAAAATTTTGTGGTGAAATATTATTTGATTTATTAAAGTTTACCTGAGGATTCAGAAAGCAAAGTCATCCACTAGCCATAGAAGCCAGGCACACACATTTAACCCATGGACTCAGGATTAAGAGGTAGAGGGATCTCTGTTGTGGGGATCACAGACCCTGGCCAGAAACACACCCCTCCATCAGCCTGGGAGCAGGCAGCTGCGAGATAATGTTTACTGAAAACAATTCAGTGCTATAAAACTCTTGATAGGGCTCAGATAAGGGCTGGCTCACTGAAACACCATGACTTTGATCCCCCCTAAGGCTAGATGCTTCTTCCTGCTCCCTGGGTTTCTCTGGGGCTGGAGATTAAACCACCAGCCAGGAGGGTGAGAAGTCTGGGAGAGCTGTGAGAGGTGTGTGAGAGCTCGGTTGGAGAATTGTATGTAGATGGATGGCAAAAGTCCTTAAAAAGGGAAGCATTTTTCTTGGGGAGTTCTCCTAAGCTGAGTTGGGGAGCATAAAGTTTTCTAAAAGCAACCGACTGGTCTCTGTGTCATCTATCCCAACCACCTCGCTACATTCTCGAATGCAGGCTGCTCAGCAAGTGGGACACTCTGTAAGTACCAGGGCACCCAAATCTATATAAGATTGATCCACTTCTGAGGAGAAATAGTTCACACCAAGATGATCTCAGCACCTTTAATCCTAGCACTAGAGGGGTATAAAAGATAGTAGCAGGTTCTTCAGCAGTCTGTGTCAAACATTCATTCTCCAGCCACATCGAGGATAGGAAGACATTGAAGTCTCAGGATTCTCCAGCCACTTTGAGGAAAAGTTACAGTATGAGGTTTGGTGGAACAAGGACTGCCTTTCCATCTGAGGTAGAGTAAGAGCTAGTGACCAGCTACTTTGCTCTTTTTTGATACAGGATTTCTCTGTGTAGCTTTGGAACCTGTCCTGGAACTAACTCTTGCAGACCAGGCTGGCCTTGAAGTCACTGAGATCTGCCTGCCTCTGCCTCTCAAGTGCTGAGATTAAAGACGTGCACCACCAAGGCCTGGCAGCTGCTTTGCTGTTTTGATCTTCAGCTTGAAGCTTGAACTCCAACATGAGTCTATGGGTCCTTTTATTTTCATGCTGCAAAGTTTAAAATTGGAAAGTCTAGAACTAATTTCTACTGAAGTGAACATTTTAACAAACAGGCAGTGGACCAGTCACTAAAACTATGAAGTTTCAAACAAGAGCTCATTGGCTCAAGGGCCATGTGGAAATCAAGTCTTAAACCTACTTCATTCAAGATACAGGTCAAAGGTATTTATATGATGACTATGCAGGGTGGTGGGCTGAGGAGGAGGCTCAGCTGGTAAACTAGAAAGAGCTTGCTACATACGCACGAGGATGGATATGAGTTTGGCTCCTCAGCTCCTACATAAAGAGTTGGATGAAGCAGTATGCATCTATAGTTTGAATGCTAGGCAGGTATAGGCAATGGGATCTAGGGTCCTTGGTCTTAATACCTAGCAACCTGCTAACTCTGTGCAGTCTGGGTTCAGTGAGAAACACCTTCTCAAAAAATAAGGAAAATTTAATTTATTTGTGAAATTCAAGAAAAAAGCTATTTAGTCCTCCATTCTCAATTGTTTTATTTACATGTCTTTTTCACTATTTTCAGAGGTCATGTATCTGAAAAATACCCTGCACATGTACACACACTCCTTAGCCTCAAATGTTGGAGTCATTTTAGTCATGAATGCCACCTCATGATCCAGTGCATGTGAAGAATGCACTGGCTTCATGCTGTGCTGGGGGGGGGTGGAGTTTTGGCATTCTGCAGTTGTTTGAAGAGATTCAACCCCTCTGTATCCTAATGAAAATCATGCTTGACAAACATTACCAACATGACTACTACATGCAACTTTAGGATCTACAAAACTAGTGATGAAGAGAAGTAAATAAAAGCAAGTGAAAATGGAAGGCTTATTGGGTTGTCCTTGGAATTCACAAATAGATTAAGCTATCCTGTTACTTGTTCAGAAATTAGGCTAGTACTCTTCTGGTCCACCCTACCATCTGTTTTTACTCAGGTCCTTTTTTCCAAGTGGAAATGATGTCTTTAAGGGATTTCCATCACTTGGTTTCTTGGACTTCGAAACAACAAATGCTATTATTGCACAACTATAGCACAAGTTAAACACATGCTGATAATAATCTCAAATGGGAAGCCAGTATATGATGTCTGTCTCACAAAAGAGAAGGCAAACTTCAGCCAAATATTTTCCATGCCTGCAATTTCCAAAATGTGCCATGTAGCATGCAGCAGTCCTGAATAACAGAAGGAGGCCTGTTGTTTGTGTTTTCTGGCAGAATAGGTAATGCATCAGAGATGTGGCCTTGTTAACCAATTTGACCTTACCTAGAAGAACTATTGGATTGGCTATTATGGAATTCCTTAAGGAGGAGAAAATAGATTTGGAAGAAAATACAGCTTAGGAAATATCAAGAAGGGGCCTATTTCCGAGATTTAGTACGTGGAGCAGCAAGAGTAAGAAAATAGATCTTATTCTCATAGGAAAGCAGTGTACTTCATGATGATTTAATTAAGCAGTTAAAGTAGGAAGGGGGGCTAGATTAATAAAATTGATCCTTAGATCGTATTCACCCCAGGAAAAACCATAGCTTCTGAGAAAGGATGCATCAGAGTATATTAAGAAAGATATGGGATGCCTACAGAGGAGTTTATAAGGTATCAGTCTTGGAACAGTTTCAGCTGGGGATACTAATCCTCACTTCCATTTGATCAGAAACAATATCAGTAATGTATTTAAATAGCCATGAACCCCCCCACTAAAACTTCATCTAATTTATATACCTTCTCTCAAAGATTGCTTTATCAAATGATATCATTTGCAGTGGCACAAGAATTACAAATAATTATTTCAGGGAAATTGAGCTATATTCAAATATTCACTAACTCAAAGACAATGAAACTAATGGAAACAGGAT